ACAGCCACCACTTAACTGGAATATTGCTGAGTGCGGCGTAAAGCTACACTAACTCACTCACTCACTTACAAGACAGTAAAGTGCCAGGGCGCCATGCGGTAAAAAGCGTTGCTCTGGATAACTGAATAATTTGCCTCAATAACATCTCTCTTTAAGTCATATAGTCAAGACATGATCTAACCAGCATGTTCAAGAAATATATACACCGTAAAATATCCTCTGATACAATATAACCTGGAGTAATGTCTTCAAGAAATATATACACTCTAAAATATCCTCTGATACAATATAAGATAAGATAAGATAAACTTTATTGTCCCGCAAGGGAAATTTGTCTTGCATCCAAAGAGCCAATACAAGCATATAACAACAAATAATTTAAAGTATATATACACAATGCCAAGCTAATCAGAATATAATGTTGAATTATAACATAATCAAAGTTCATGATATAATAATCACTCGTGCCTCATCATAGATTTCACTATTACAATTTTGAAGGAAGATTTAGAAGTTTTATGGTGTATGGGACAAATGATTTTGAAGTTCTATTAGTTTTGTAATACATGATTTTGAAACGGCGGCCAGAAGGCAGAAGTTCATAACATTCATTTAAAAAGTGTGATGGATCCGATTGAATGGCCAGAGCTTTCTTCTTAAGTTTTGACTCATACTGAAAAGGTTGAGGTTCGAAATTGAAGCCGCAAATTTTGCTGGATAAGTTTACAATTTTGTCAAGTTTGTTTTTCTGTGTAAGAGGAAGGAAGATTGCCACACCAGGCATGAAAGCAGAAAGTTAAAATAATATTAATGAATGTTTGGTAGAATAATTTTATATTATGTCTACATTAAATGATTTTCGCAGAAAGAAAAGCCTCTGTTGTGCTTTCCTGTGTACACGATGTGAATTTGATTTCCATGAAAGTTTATTATCAATGATAGTACCCAGATATTTATACTCTTATACTGTTTCTACTTCCTGTCCTTTAATACAAACAGGTATCAGTGAAGTAAACGCATCAATATTTCTCCTATACTCTAACTCCGATTGACGAATAAACCCAACCAAAGCGGCATCATCAGCAAATTTGAAATTCAAACAGGTGGATAAGTGAGATATACAGTCATTTGTATAGAGTGTGAAGAGGACAGGGGACAGGACACAGCCTTAAGGAGCACCGGTACTCACAAGATTAACGTCAGAAAGCAATGAATTGACCCGAACACGTTGAGGTAGGTTAATTAAGAAGGCCTCTACCCACTTGATTATGTTACTATTTACTTCGATGTTGAATAATGTCCTTATCATCAAATGTGGCTGGATTGTGTTGAAAGCAGAGGAGAAGTCGGCAAAGAGGATTCTCACATAAGATTTGGAATTCTCTAGATGAATATAGATCTTATGCAACAGTGAAATGAGTGCATCTTCTACCCCGCGCCCGGCCCTGTAAGCAAATTGTAAAGGATCCATTTGATGTCCAGTATTTTGCTTAATTAAGTTCAAGATAATTCGCTCAAAGCATTTCATGATTATTGGAGTAAGAGCCGGACTGGGAACGGGGATTATAGTCAAAAAGTCAAAACCTTCAATAATTTTGACTTTTGGGAACGGGGACCTTATATACCTAAAAATATCCTCCGATAAAAGTCAATAATGTCTTCAATAATATATACACCCTAAAATAACGTCTGATACAAAATACATGCACCCTAATATATACCTAAAAATATCCTCCGATACAATATGACCCGGAATAATGTCTTCAAGAAATATATTCACCCTAAAATATCCTCTGATACAAAATGACCGGAATAATGTGTTCAAGAAATATATGCACCTGAAAAATATCCTACGATACAATACAAAATTACTCGGAATAATGAGGCTGGACACAAAATCATCCATAGAAAATGATCCCGAATGATGTGTCTCGATACAAAATGATCAGGATATAAAAAACTATCCAGAATCATCCATGATAGCACATGCCCCATACTCGTGGAAACGGACACAACACTGTCCAGTATCATGTAAGTCATTACGAAATGACACTTGATCATCTGCATCGCTGTAAGTTATGAATGAGAGTCGTGCAACCCAAAACAGAATATCCAAAATATCGCGTGACCTTGTACAAAATGACGCCATCCTTCTTCTCAAAAGATTTACAGACGTCTGAAAAGTTAAAAACAAACGCTAAAAAAATTGATATTCCTAATTTTCCTCGACCTCTAAATAACATACAGGCATGGTTGCCCACAGAAAATTGACAATTAATTTCATCTGTTTTCTTGGTGGTAAACCACGTGCAGGAATTACGAGGTAACGCGCCACCGGCCATTATGCATACATAGAACGTATTGACATCTGATGCGAGGGGATTCTTATCCCCGCTATGGTTAATCTTTGGAACTTTGTATGCCAGCTCATTTTCACATATTCCTATAGAATCTCCAAATTTGAATGGAAAATACATTGATACCGTTTATGGCACTAATAAAACATGTTTTCCTAAGTCCGAATTTCGACAGGTGCCCGTTCAGTCTGTCTAGGTGATGTGGCTTCTCTTTCATCTTCCCTTAAAGGCTGGCTATATATGATGCAATAAATCATATTACATTCAACAATAAAAAAATTATATCGATGCGAAAATCTAGGAACAATCTAACACTGTGGACAAACGATGTAAAAATACCCCGTTTTAGACTGGTAAATATTACGGACACAAAACCGTCGCCTTTGTCAGGCTGAACTAAAGATTTGCATGGCTGTTGAATACTTGATAACTATTGCTTTAGACTGATTGTCCTACTGGTTTTACTAAACACGTGTCGGAAATTTGGTATTTGCTTAACCAGAACGAGTATTTAGATTTTCGAACACAAATATGATTCACATGCGGGGATATTATATATTCTCTTTCTAAGACTCGCTGTTGCAAGTTTCTTCTTCTCTTAAACAGTATCAACGTCATCAAAAATAGTTCCAGGGCATTGTAGCTCACCTGCATATGTAGTCAAAAGTTAAAAAAACAAAACAACCATTTTTATAAGGTTTGTTCAGAATGAAGACTGGTATTCACAAATATGAAAAAGTACTTTACGTCACAATGCTTTTAAATATACAAGAATATAAAGGTTTAGTTTGTTCAGCATTGCTTCAACACGGCGTAGCTTTACTTTACACAACATGTCAACTCACAACTTTATTTCACACATTTCCAACGAGAATATATTTATAATAACATGAAATACAGGTTTTTTTTCAAATATGTCATAAACAACACCAGAATCCCAACAATCTGAAGAGATCATGATGTATTCACAAGTAAACAAACATCTCTGCTGAGTTCAATGAGCATTCATTTTGTTTGTAGAAATACTTCCGGTTTTTATATCGCTGTAGTTGCCGTGGTGACAGTGTAAGTTTTCAGAATCAAACTTTACAATATAACGGAACACAGAACATGTGTGTTGTGCCCCATCAGTAGCTGGACATTGCCAAACTGCATCCCATTACAGCATCACATCTTGACCACAGTTGGGTGACATTGTTGTCACGTGATCAACAGGCATCCGGCTTCACTGGTCCAGATGATTCTCATATGATGATGTAAACAATGCGTGGGGTAAATCCGGCCAATGGTCACTGTGATCATGTGGAAAAGTTATATGAAACGAAGGGAAAACAGCGACATGTTTGTTGAGCCGTACTATAAACTACCCGTACACCACGATTTTTAAAATGTAAACGTTTAAAAGTTTTTGTCAATTTTGCTGAGGTCGGGGCATATTAAAATTTGGATACGAAGTTGTTGAACAAACTAAGGGGAGCACCCTTGGAGGCAACAAATTTGTGAAGTGACCAGCTACATCGTTTCACTTACGTCTGACGAGATGTTTACGACAGACGACGAACTGACGATGACATAAGTTAACTTTATTTTACATCAAGTTTCACATTTACATGATAAGTTTCTTAATCGCGTTTCGTGATTCTGCAGCACAGACACCAGAGTGGGTTCCGCAGTGTGTACAGAAGATAGAAGGAGAACCTGGATTTTCAGTGTAATAAATAACACTTTGTGACATAACAGGTCGGCAAAAAATCGTTTTAAAGAAACCCAAGAGATGAACGTAATCAATTGTCTCTCTCGACGTTCCCGCCACCATACCCACTGCACCCACCATACATGTGTTGCTGACATGGCGAAAGGTGAAGTACGCCGCCACAGATTTGTCTCATCCATTTGACAATGTCGGCATAGTGTTTATAAGCAAGTGAAGATCGATACAGTGAAGACATTTCACTAAGTAATCGACGGTATTCCGTTGCCACGAGACGTCAGAAGGAAAGAAAATGAGTTAAAACTGCAGTGAAACCTCTTTAGTTTGTTTGTGGTTTGACGCCGCGACATGGCGGCGGTCTGTAAATAATCGCGTCTTGGCCAGATAATCCAGTGATCAACAGTATGAACATCAGTCTACGCAATTAGGATACGATGACATGTGTCAACCAAGTCAGCGAACCGGACCACCCGATCCCATTAATCACCTATGAGCATGGGTTCCTGAAGATCAATTCTAACCTGGATCTTCACGGGTGAATCCTCTCTTATCTGGACACAGCTGACGATGACGTCAGAATCGTGTAATGGAGCACTAGGAATGACCTTTGTCGCATGTGTCATGATCTGTGTTGGTGGTGGCTAATGATTGTTTTGGGACTGCAGTAGGTTTGCTTAGATTCACTTGGATTATATGTCTTTGCTAATCCGTATTGATACTTCACATTGATATGGGCAGCTGATTTTTATGATCAGACCGACATGTGATTCTAGGGTTGGATAGGTAATATTTCCTCGGGAAATGTCCCTGGTGTATAAAGTTAAATGAACACAAATATTTCATTCAGGGCCCACGAGTGAACTGAGATGTGGATGCTTGTGTTGCTGGGGATGGAGCGGGGGTCGAATTGGTACTGAAAGGAGACAACCTACCTCTAGCGTTAACCTTCTGCAGCAGTCTGTCGACGATGGTGTCGTATGCCTCGCCGCTGGCCACACCGGAGTCTTTCAGCAACTTCTCTGTGGTGGCCAGACAGATCCCGTTCTCCTTCAACAGCTTTTCCACCTCGTTAAAACCCTGGAACCAAACATAGACACAGGTCACCACCAGCAAACACGCTACCACTCTACCACGGACTAAGGGCAAAAAGACTTAACATCGCGTTTATATCAGTTTGAGTTACGTCATAATGGACTGACGTCATGCCACTGCTAATATTTTTAGAACGGGGGAAAATATGGAGTAAGATCCCATCAGTTTGTGTTGTTCGGTGGTCTTGAATTCTATTGTAGAATTATTACTGCAGATTTGTTAACCCGTTTAGTTAGGCATTAAACATAATCTGTGATCACAGGTAACGAGCTGTCAGTCACAAGTGCACTCAGCTGAACTGATCACAGAAAGTCTCTCTAACTTGAGCACTCCAATTAGGACGGTTTAACTACATGTGTAGGTATTGTCCTACTTTATCCCATACTTCCACCAGGCAACTGGGTGTCTAATGTCGAAGTTCACAAGACGGCCACAACAAAGATATAGACAGAGTTACAACTTCCCTTCTTCGACTACCCTCCCATAACTACATAACTTCATTGTCCTGTTCCGGGAAATTCACTCATTGTTTCTATGCGGTATGACGATATATTCAGACTGATGAATAAATGACGACAACCACATGTTATATATGTTGTTATTCCCAGACGGGAATACAGTACATGACAAACGCCCAATAAATACAGATGTCTAATTAATGGTACACTTGTGTGGAAGCTATACCCTGGATCACTTCACCTCGGTAACAGGCTTGGGTGTATCTTAGAGACTAACACAATACGTGATACTTACCTCAGTATATAAACGGAACAGGCGTAAGTGAGATTGATCTGTTTTACTTGGCACTTCTTAAAAATATCACGTCGGAAATGGGCATCAAAATTTGGTCTAATGTGCGAAATGAACTTACACTTAACGAGCCAGCATAGTAATCACTTAATATCTCAGTCATTATACTGAAATGTGAGGTGAGGTGAGGTGAATTGGGTTTATCGTCGTCCTTGAGAATATTTCGCTCATATGACGACATGCATGCGCGTGTATGTGTATGTGCGGCTGCTTGTACTAGCCCAGACTGAAGCTGGTTTTATAGTGCTAGCCCACTGACATACCATGCCGCAGTGAAGCATGAATACCCCACTCAGACACATTATACTGACTCCGAGCCGACCAGTCCTTGTTGTACCCATTAATGCCGAGCGCCAGGCAGGGACCAACAAGTACCATATTTTAAACGTATTTTGGTATGACGCGGTCGGGGATCGAACCCGCGACCTTCCGCTATCCGGGCGGACGCTCTAACCACTACACCGTGGAGGCGGTTTTATACTGAAATGTACACGAACTGGCGGACACAAGGACACAATACACAGTTGTAGTCCCTGTCAAGGGAACCAGCTTCCACAATACACTAACACATACTGACAAAACGCTTAATGAAAATTGGCACATGAAATAAATGGCGAAATGTCTAGATCAAACCTGTAATTCTAAGTGACATTAGAGAACTAGACTGAAACGAATTGATAAAACATTTAAATGCACGTGGCACACGGGTAAACGAGTAAAACAAATTAATAGCATCTTTAAATACAAGTGACGTGCAAATAACAGACTGTGTGTAAAACACGTAGAAAAAACCGCTGACGCAAATCTTGTTTCAATACTTAAATTACATTTGACAAACATAAAAATAGAAATTTCAAAAGCCAAATAAAGCAAATAAAAACGTCCTGTACATACGTTAAGACATATCAGTGTTATTTTCGGAAAGACGCTTACATGTTCTTACTGATATACGAGCAAGCAAGACAAATCAACCTCCCGGTGCCACATTCGGGTATATGCTCTGTCAGGTGCGCAAAAAGAAGCGACACACTACTGTCCAAAACAAACGACTGCTTGGCCACCTGCTTTGGGTGCGAATGTTGGAACGTTTCTTTTGCTTGCTGGTAAATTTCAAACAAACGTTAAATTGCACCGATCACTACCACGTTCGTTCTTGATATTCCACCCTCTAGGGTGTCGATCGGAGAAGTTTCTTTTGAGCGAGAGAGTAAATGAGTAAGGGTGGTTTTACCAATATTCTAGCAATATAACGGCTGGTATTTCTCTTGAACAGCTGTGTAAATGACTAAATGTGAAATGATATTTCGTTCCAGAACGTCATGAGTTGTTCAAAGCTTTTGTTTGATTGGGTTTGAATCTACGTCATGTTTTAGACTCCCAGTCTGGACAACTGGGTGTTGCAGAAAGATTATATAACGATGGAAAGTTATTGTCAGCACAAGTTAATCGTGTTCTGCAATTCCTCAATAACTTTTTAACCCATGAATACGTCGTTCTTTTCGACTATTTTTACGTTTTTTGCAGCTGTTCCAAGGTGCTGTAAACAGAAAATTAAACCTAAAGAATCCCAGTTAGTGACGATTTAACGTTTTTAAAGTGAACACATTCACGCATTTCAAACACCATTCAAAATAAATAAACACTTGCACGCTTCCCTTTCACAGTAAATAAACACAGAGTTTATTGAAATACGAATCGATACCAGATGTGGGAAAGGTCGTCGTTTTATATTAGAAAAGTGAAGCGGTACCACATTAACTTGACCTTGACCTTCGACCGTGTCGACAAAGCTCTCTTGTGGCGGTGGGTTTTAAATTGGTTTGAACACTGCCAAGGTTGGCGGGAAACATAAATCATGGCTTTGAAGGAAACGAAACGAAATTCCACTTTTGATTAAATGATATAAATCTTTAGTGCGTAAGGCAATGCCTGACGGCTGAATGGACGATGTTATTGATGCAATCGACGTCTTCCTTGACTCGGCTCTCAATACCTTGTAATTAAGTGCTGCGGAATATACAACTGTTGATTTCATGCTTAAGCGCATGTGCATCGATGATGATAAAGAAAGACAATAGTTTAACCATTATGAATCGCTGGCAATTAAACACGAAACAGGAGCGTATAGTCTCCGGACGTCAATGTGCTAACGAAGGGCCACTACGCGGGATAATGAAACTCGTCATTTCGGCACGAAGCTGGTGTTACGATCGACTTCAAAGAAACTGTTTGTGAGACTGCTCTGAATGAATGGCACGAAAGGTTTCAACATTAAGACCGTGCTTTGATTAATAAAGAATATATCACTCTATATATTGCCACGAGGCAGTGTTAAATGTTTTAACTAATGTATAATAACCAATTTAAACATTTCAGTTGAGAGATCTGATCGCCATGCACGGTTCTTCATATCTATTTAATGCAATAATGTACTACATTTCAAGGGATATTGATGCTTTTCAAATCTTATGACTGAAATGTTTAGGTCGGTATATTATGATTGAATTTATCAGGTGCACTTTCTATAACAAACAAAATGTTTTAAACATTTAAACACATACATGTAATTAACTTCTACGTTTCATGTTTTCAAAGTTTGAAACTTTTAAAGCATTCATGTATATACAATATATCATGTAGATATCATGTATATATCACAATCGTGAGAAAATAAGTATTATAGGGGACGAATTCATACTCCTAGTTCTACTGATCGCACCCCAAATGGTGATCAGTCCCCCCTTCACGGCGGCCATGCTCGGCTGCGTTGCAATCCTGAAATGTTTTTCAATTCAGTTCTCGTTTTGGTCTGTCCACCTGCCGAGATCTTCAACCCGGTGGGGCGGTGGGGTAGCCTAGTGGTTACAGCGTTCGCTCGTCACGCCGAAGACCTGGGTTCGATTCCCCACATGGGTACAATGTGTGAAGCCCATTTCTGGTGTCCCCTACAGAGATATTATTGTAATATTGCTAAAAGCGGCGTAAAACCTCACTCACTCAACCCAATTCAAGTCTGCCAGTATGTGATATTAGGTCAGTGGGGTGCGAAGGAATGCCCAGTGTGACCGGAAGTCAGCCCAGCGGGGACAATGTCGCCCTGTCTGAGTAGAAACCTGGACGCAACCTTCGTGACGACATTCTACAGTAATCAGGCAACACCGTCCTCCTGGTGTTGTGGAACGCTGTCGACCACCTGCATGTTGACAGCTGATCCAAGCGTTAGGTATCGAGTCTATGCCCTGAACTGTGCCCAACACGAGAGACGACATTGCCTGTTGCTGACCACATTTCTCTCCAACCTACGCATCTGCCTTATTCTACCGTCGTTTGTGTATCAGCCTAATGTGGTTCTTGCCACGACAGTCGTCAAACGACGTATTTGAATCGGAGCGTACAAACAAACAACTGTCGCAATTTTCAATAGCAAATGTTTTCTCTCCAATAATGCACAAATTCTGTCACGATACATCCACACAGGTTTCTAGCTCTTTGTTTTCATCATGCCCATGATAAGGGCTATAGATCAAGTCACACATATAATTGTCAGTTGTTAGTCAGGTATCATATGGCCATTGGAATGGCCAGTTGATCAGAAGGAGGGGTATCAGAATATTGTAGAAGTTACTTGAAAAGGGAAGGACAGGGCTCTTGAAGAAATCTTCAGGTAACTAAGTCTGTGCGTGTGATGGTGGGCGCGTGTGCGTGAGTTTAATATGATTATGTAAGCAGTAAATTAGTATTTATCGCGAATGTTCAAAAGTACTGAGTAATGTATTCAAAGTACCCCAAAGTACCCAAATCCTCAACTGATTAACCCCCTTTGTATTGATTTCCTCAACATATGGGTCCTCAAAGCGACCTTAGTTTAAAGAATACCGAAAGTCCATGTTAGAGAATCTGAGTTGTGACATTCTAGAACCGCTATCTGGCAATGGCCCTTAACCCCTGTCCTCTGATCTTTGACCCGTGATCACCTGCATGCCGTAGCTGGACTCCTCGTAAACCACGGACACGTACGTCCACTTGAGCATCTTGACCAGCTCGACCATAGCCTGGGCCTGGTTGACGTCAGATGGGATCGTACGGAGGAAGTAGGGGAAGCGTTCCCTGTTGCTCAGCACTGGACTTGTGGAGAAGAAGCTGACCTGGAACATAGAAAGAATGTCACTTCCTGTGGGCGTGAACTTTTTAACAAGAGGAAAGAGTTTTCAAGACAACTGGCGAGTGAGTGGGGTGAACTAAACCCTGAAAACTATTTCAGTTGTAGAACGGCGTGTCAGCACATTCTGGTAATAACATACCTACATTTAGGATCTATTCTAAGTAAACAAATGTACATGCATTCCTTCTGCCGACCTTCTACATTGTTGTGGAACTTACCCTTTGTAGTGGGTGGGTTTTTGAAGACACTGCACAATGGGCTTCTGGCCTACATTAACTCCTCCAGTAAATACAGTCTGTTAAGTGAATGCGTTGAAACATCTATTGATCTGTGGGTGGTGGTCAAAGGTGATATATTTACGCCAAACAATAACCAGAAGTATTTTAGGGAGCGTGAGCAAAGCCTTGTCCATTGATTCACTTAACGCCAACAATGGCCTAATGATTAGAGGTGCTTTCCTACTCCTTACACAGCCGCAAATAGCAAATAGTGCCGAGCTAGCAGAAAATAGCATTTACGCATCACTTCCTTCCCCAATTCTTCATTGATTAATGACCGAGGGTGCGGATCAGGCAGCCTAGGAGATGAGGGGGAGCGAGAGGGATCTGAGTGCAGGGATCAGGCGGCACGGCGCCCAGGACGGGAGTTGGGTGGGATTCGAGGGATGGGGTGCAGGTGCTTGTTTATGGTGGGAGGGATGGAATGACTATAAGGGGTAGATACATTGTGGGAATTCCGTTCAGTGTTGGTGTTGGGGTGAAGTGGGCGTGTCAGATGTATTTGTTGCAGAGGGTGGGTCCATATTGTGTATGAAGGTGCATGTTTAACCATTAGGCTCCCCCACCGCTCCTACACAGTTTGTGATTATCTTATTATGTTGACGAGTGTTTGCATGTGGGAGAATACTTGGGTGTAAAGTAAACATATAAAAGTCATCACGGTCAACACATTATTTAGATTACAGGTTTACACAGGGACCCGCAGGTGGCGTGGTACCACAATACTGGTAAATGTGGTTTCTCTTCATGCCCATCATGTAGACGACAAGGTTCGATATACAGCACCAGGAAGCCCCTTACAGCCCGTCCTATATAACCACACAGTATATGTGTGAACACACTGATAATCTAAGCAGGCTTCGATTACGAACAAAGTAGGTGTGCCCACATTCAAACCCCTCTCTAGACATACTCATTATCTCGTGTTATAATTGGAGATTATGTGACAGATACACGCATCAACCCGGCAGTGTCATTATTCCACTTCTACTGAGGATATATAATACTGGAGGCAATGTTTGCCTGATGGACGTGAAGTAGCTCCCGTACAGGGTGTGTCACAAACACAACAAAGCCCTAGCTCTGCTAGACGAAATTACTCCACCCTGAAAGATCAATGTCGTCCCCCATCCCCCCACCTCCTCTACCACCCCCGATGATGTAACGCTGCTACGAGAGTTATACTATCCATCTCCATCGCCAAGTCGTCATGCCTCGCGCATATGTCTGCGCATGTCGGTTTCTTCCGCTGTGTATGGCTACTTCCCGAGGGAGGACTTTCAGAAGAATGTTTTCGTGGAAGGATCACTGGCTGCATTGGCAGTATGACAAACAATACAATTTCTATCATTGACGACTTTTTAAAATGTTTATCTCAGGTAAATAAACAGAAATTTTCGCTAGGCATACTGCTCTGATCCCTCCTTCAGAGAAACTTGCCTTTCAGTGCAGATGGAAACAACTATGAGTTACTCTAGCATCTCTCCCCTTCTACGCACACGCACACTCGCACGCGGACACAAAAACACTCACCAAAATATAGTCCCTAAACAGTTTGCAGTGAGTGAGTGAGTGTGGATTTACGTCTTTTTTAGCAATATTTCACCAATATCATGGCAGGAGACAGCAGAAATGGGCTTCACACAGTGTACCCATGTGGGGAATCGAACCCGGGTCTTCGGCGTGACGAGGGAGCGCTTTAACCACTAAGCTACCCACTGCCCCTAAACAGTTTGTAATTATTATGTTATAATGTTGCAAACCTCATATGAATAGTTAACGTGAACGTTGTTAATAAGATGTATAAGATAATTCTGAAAGTTTATGGCGCCATGCGCCAGTGGGTACACGATTTAGGTTCGCCTGTTCTTAATATCTATCTGTCTACGAACGAGCACGCGGTCTGTGATGGTGGATTACTCCCCAAGCACCCTCCACAGCCAGAGATCGCACTGTCCTTTACACGCTGTGCCTCACCGACATATAGCGATACGTGTAGTCATGTCCGCACCAGCTCTGACAGCACAGCCATGTTCTTGAGCGGGTACTGTCGGACAGCGCTTTGGGCAGAACAGAGATCTCAGAAAAGAAACTGCCAGTGGGATTGTGAAGTCGGTCAGTTGGCTCACAAGTGGACAAGTGTACTATCGGACCATCAGCCATTAAGGACATTGCCAAGTACATATGCACCGGAAGTTTGCCTGTCTATTATCCTCCCCATCACAGTAATTACATATCCTATGTTAAACGGTGATAATAGCTGAACCTTGTCTCAAGGGAAAGGTAACGGACAAGTATGTCATGTTACATTAAGTGCCATGGCTGTGGGGGAATAAAAGCCGAACTTCCGGAACTTCCGGGAATGCGTCAACAGTACGGTTTAAAGAGACTTCCTGTTGGTCGAAACCTGGGGTCAAAACAGATCTGGACCTAAGGGGTGTTACATATAAAGGGGTCAGAAAGATTGAAGATGATGTGGTACGAAAGTATACTCATGCCAATAATGGTTGTCACCCCCTTCAATCATATTAATAGGCTGGGGGTGACAACCATTATTGGCATGAGTATATATGTACGTAAATCAGTCGAGATGTAACAAAGCAGTTGGAACCTTCATTCATCCTTATTCGGCGTCAATAAGTTTTTTTACAGTGTTACCTGTATTGGTAGTGTGAAAACTCTGAAAGTAGACATGCAAGGTATATCAATAGCTAAATAACCCCAACATTCTGTATTCATTATTGGACTCGAACTTTGGCGTTCGAACCTTAGTGTCTATAATGCAACACTGCCTACTGACCCACTCAGGCCCCTGTATGATACGACAATATTAACACACAAACCTCTGGAGGTAAGTCAGCCACTGTATTGCTACATTTCATGGTCTTCCATGTATTTCTTAAAAATATGTTTATAATATAGCCACCATATGTTTAGACGTCTATTACACCACGGGTGCCTGCGGGGACCAATTACATCAAGATGGTGGCAGGGTCAGGGTCATCTGATATGGGGCATGGCAGAGGTTGTGGGTTACTCCTGGGTGGAACAGTTACACAATATGCCGCCACATAAACTAGAGTCTATGTTGGGGTTAGTTCGTAATTCAGTCAACTGTGTTTGCCGTGTGTTGTGGACGTCCTGTGTAATGAGTTAGTGAGGGAGCTGGGGTTAGTGCCACGTTGAACATATTTTGGATTTCTGGGACAGGGTGCGACAATATCCAATCAAATATTGCCATTCTCTCTGTCAACGCTTCTGTCAAATCATTAGACTAATGTTGACGGTTTTGGTCCAGTGGGTAAAGATAAAGGTTAACGCACTGCTAACAGGGCCGTAGTTAACTTTCTTTTAATAAGGGGGGCACTATCAACGTTAAACGAGTGTTATATCCATACTTTGAGGCATAAAAAGTAATCTGCTCCCGCACACGCACGCACGCACGCACGCACGCACATACACACACACACACCTACCTACGGCCCTGGTTAACCAATTGTCTTTTCAGCGTTTGACGTTAAAGAATTGAGCCGACACTGGCTCACACTGAGAATCGAAACTGAGACGACTGGGTCACCTGTGTCTGACTGTGTAATCAGGACCAGGATGAAAGGGGCCGTGACCCCTTACGTCTGTTAATGATTCACACTTTTAGTCTAAGGGGAGCAGTCGACTAATGGGCAGATAACTCTGTCAGAGTAGCTGAAACAAATCACTTAATGGTCGAGTTTATCTTTAATTTTGAGACGAAGGAAATAACTGGTGTGTCCCCTCCCCTACATCGTCCATCATCGCCATCCGCAGTCAGGTGTCGACGTGAGTGATATCGGCTCAGCGTCCGCCGTTAACTCTCCCACAACATTATTTCAACGCGACCAGAATCTACATATGCTTGTGATTTACCTGAATATGCTTGTGAAATAGTTGAACATGCTTGGGGAATAACTGAATATGCTTGAGGAATAACTGAATATTCTTGTGGAATAACTGACCATGCTTGTGGAATAGCTAAACATGCTTCTCGTTAAAGGTGAGCATTAAATCTTGTGGACGTTAAACCAAATCTGAATATGCCTGTTGCCACTTTCGGCCACTTTATCAAACGGCAATCCGAATATTCAAAAGCATGTTCCATACGGAGACTTCCATTATCTGAAGAAGTAACTTCGTCTTATTTATCGTGTCTTTACACAGTGTAGCACTTGAGGACGACCTTGTGCCTGAAGGTCGGTCAGTGCAACAATTGTGAACTAACAGAACTAAACTTCTCCAAGCCGTAACGATATGACGATACATCAGTCACAAACTGTCGACATGTTAAGTTCAAGATGAACCATGTTAAATATCATGACGTCAAATGTAGGCCAAAACTTTGTTAAATATATCTGTGGGATTCGACAAAAATCATTATCATATGCCGTTTAGCGATACATCGTACCTCGATCACTGGTTTGGTATTTTAATGGTAAATGTTTGCAGTAGTGGTGTTCCGATTAATTGAAGTAATCGAAGATTGGTCGAAGTGACCAAACGACCAAGCAATCGATCACATTTTCTCATAATCGAACACAAACGATTTTGGAACTGCTGTTTTAGTCTTTAAAACACTTGACGATGGAACATATCTTCGAAGTTGTCGGGGCCTGCAAACTTGTTTAATTCTTAGAAAACTCACTTCACTAACTGAAACGTCATGACTGAATAT